TTATATAGAAAAAGGTGGATAGAACAGTGAAACTTTAACCCAACTATTGAGAAAATAAAAGCATGTTATCCTTTTCAGTTACATTTATATAAAAAGATTGTTATAAAGATTTGTCTGAAAACTGTAAAATGAGACAAAGTGAGCTTTATATATATTTTAACACTAGTATAATTATTGATACCTTGATATAGTAATAAGTTCAAGGTTGTATTTATCTTTCAATTCTCTAGTTATATGTAAACTTGATGTAAAACAAAATGTTTGGAACTGCTGAAGTATATGAGATTCATTTAGTATGCACTATTTGTGAAAGTATGTAATGGCCAAAATACAATTTCAGTAGAAAAAAATACTTGTAACTTAGTGTTGAGGTAATTACCAACAGAAGTGTTGGTGATTGATGTGAAAGTGGATTTCAAATGTGGTTGAGAACAGAATTACACTTTTAAAAGAACTATGGATAAAACTGTGCTTGTGCTGAAGTCTCAAGGTAAAAGTAGGGGATTGTGGGCTAACAATAGCAAAACAGAGATTGTAATCAATAACAATTATGTTGGTTTTACTCATAAAGCAAAACATGATACATTATTGAAATCAGATAATGTGGTTTTGCTTTTGCTGTGTTTGCAATTTTTTTCTTCCAATATTATGCTTATTGATTCATTTGAATGTTTAGATCAATTATAGTACTGTTTTTTTTTTTTTCCAGTCTCTATTTTAACACTAGTCATATCTTTGCCTGGGTTTAATGTGTTTATTTTCTGGCTGAGTTTCTTAGCACCTGACCACCTTCAACCTTGTCTTTGTGTTTATTTGCCTAATTCTGTAAATAGTCAATCATTTTAAATTTAATTTGACTCTCCCTGGTGTTATGTATTCCATTCAACTTGATGTATGTAAATTTAATGAGCATGCTGTCTTGTAAAATCCACATTTGTGAATGAAAATATTGAATTTAACATTTGTCATTCAGTAGAAAAAAATGCTCACTCTCTGTTTGCTGTTCTCTGCTTGATTGCTCCTTAGTGCTCACTATTTACATATATATGCTCACATCTTTTTTTCCTTTCTCAGTTTGCGAGCCATAATGTGGAAAATATTTATTTTGTGCCCGGTTATTTTTACCAGATTAGATTGGAGCCTAAAAACAGTAGTAGAAACCAGTACATTTTTGGTTTGTTGGGTTCTCTGTCCTCATCTACCCAATAGAAAGAAGCTTTTTAAATTTTTAGATAATCTTTTTTTTTTTTTTTTACTTTTTCATTGTCATTACAAAGGTACAGAGGAGTTACCATTTCAAAAGTCAAGTAATAACTTCCTCCCTCCCTCATTCCCTCCCTCCCTCTTTGCCTCCCTCCCTCCCTTCTTTCCCTCCCTCCCTCCCTTCTTTCCCTCTCTCCTTCCCTTCTTTCCCTCCCTCCCTCCCTCCCTCCCTTCTTTTCCTCTCTCCCTCCCTCCCTCCCTCCCTCCCTCCCTCCCTCCCTCCCTCCCTCCCTCCCTCCCTCCCTCCTTCCCTCCCTTCTTCCTTCCTTCCTTCCTTCCTTCCTTCCTTCCTTCCTTCCTTCCTTCCTTCCTTCCTTCCTTCCTTCCTTCCTTCCTTCCTTCCTTCCTTCCGTCCTTCCTCTTTTTTTTTTATAGTAGCTGTTTCTTTCACTCACTTTCCAGCCAGCCAGTCATTGTGTATTTAAGATAAACTATACCCTAGAAACTTCTGCTAAAAAAACCCCAAAAACACACCTCCATCCCCCAAAACCTCCACAAAGGACTTGAAAATAGTTTTAAGTGAGTAAGAGATGTTACTTTTTTTTCAAACTACCCATAGAATTTTGTTATTTAATGTATTCAGTTTTGTCTTTTAAATATAACCATTTAGTCTATTTATTTTATAAAATTTATTGTGATATTAAGGATTTAATCCAGGACTTCTTGTTTGCCACAGAACTAGTCTACCACTTTAGCTATACCCTATCTTACTTTAAGTTTATTTCAAACTTAAAGAATTGTCACAAGGCCGGGTGCTAGTGGCTCACACCTGTAATCCTAGCTACTCAGGAGGCTGGGAGCTGAGGATCATGGTTCAAAGCCAGCCTGGGTAGGAAAGTCTGTGAGACTCTTATCTCCAATGAACCACTCAGAAAACCAGAAGTGTTGCTGTGGCTTAAGTGGCAGAGTGCTCACCTTGAGCTGTAGAGCTGAGGGATAGCACCCAGGTCCAGACTTCATAAAGCCCCATGTGAGAGAAAGACAGAGAGAGAGAGAGAGAGAGAGAGAGAGAGAGAGAGAGAGAGAGAGAGAGAGAGAGAGAGAGACAGACAGAGAGAGAGACAGAGAGAGAGAATTGTCACAAATAGCAGAGAATTTGTTTCTTCTCTCTCTCAGCTTTTCTTAATGTCATTACTTTATAGTAACATTAGGGCATTGTCAGTAACATTGACAATAACATTAGGATGATTCCTAATGTTCATTGGAGTGAAAATACTGCTAACTAAACTGAAGACTTTGTTTTCAGCTATGTCCTGGGATTCAATCCAGATAGCACATTGCTATATTTCAGTGTGCCTCTTTCCTCTGTCCTCTGGCTTTCTTCATTTCTCCGATTCTGAAAGCATCCCATGCATGAATCACATCTGATCTTTCTCAGCATCTCCAGGGAACCTGACCTAAGACAATTGAGATACACTGTGACAGTTTTAAGCAAATATATATTGAAAAACATGAAAATTGCACACCAGGTCTTTCTTGGCTCCTCTTGGTTTGGTTTTTCTTGGATACCTGTGGGAGATGTTTAATCCAGTCCCTCTAGAATTGTTATCTAAGATACGTATCTGTAATTTCCAAGAAAAATCTAATACTCTGTAGTGTTCTATGTAGATAAAAATAAAAATTCTGTTCTAAAATCTTGCTACGTTTTCCTTTTGCTAGGATGATTTCTTTGTATTGCTTCCTTCTTTTGCTTTTTCCTCTTGTAAAAGGGCAAAGCTGAGTCTCGGAAATGCCATTTTTTACCTGTTAGGTAGAGTTTCAGGCCTAGTATGTTTTCTATTAGGTTTTAGGGTGATGTAGCTGATTGAACACTTTGTTCCATCTATAGAATCAAATCTTTCTTTGCTTTTGTTTTTCACATTGAGACTGTCCTTGTCAGGAAGATGAGTGCCAAACTTAAAGAAGAGAGATGGCATAAGCTGCAAGAAAGTACTTGGAAGAGCATGAGATCTCTTCCTTAGTCAATATATAACACTACTATCAGAGTTCCAGAGACATGAACCACTGGGTACTGAACCAATATAGATACTGACTGGTACATGAAGCGACTTTACTAAGGGAGTGGCTTGTGAGACTGTGGAATCTAAGTCCAGTGATAAGCTTCCTGTAGGCAGGGGATGAAGAAAGGATAACGTCTGAAAATCTGGGGCAGGTTGTATGCGTATACCATAGATACTAGCTGATGTCCCAGAGTCTGAAGGCTGGAGAAGCAAGGTCAGAGAAAAATGAATGTCTTGCTAGAAGAAGAAAATGAATTCACCTTTCCTTTGCCCCTTTGTTCCACTAGGCCCTTCCCTTATTGGATGAGACCATTGATTCAAATGTCAATCTTTTCTGGGAACACACTTAAAACATATCCATACATGATGCTTTATCAGCTATGTGGCTACCTCCTATTCCAGAGGTCTTATTGTGGAGCCTTGGCTAGGCTGGACTTCAGAATCCTCCTACTTCAGCCTCTTGAGTGCTGAAATTACAGGTGTACACCATCATGCCTGGCCATCTTAAATATTTCTGTCAAAATAAAATGAGGGGAATCTAATTTCAAAGTACTTAGAGGGTTCCTTTGGTAGTCAAAAACTGAGTCAGCCTGAAACCATTAGCTACAGTGTCTAATGACATTTGGAGAAAACTGTGTTGCATTAGGTGATCCAAACCTTGAATTTTGTGCATTTGAGGAGATAGGTAGTTTCTATGCATTCGTATTATATCTGCCTCAGGGCGGAAATCAGGAGGATATCCATGGGTGCTAACCTTCCCCTTTAGCCATTTTCTCTTACCTTAGACTACCTTTTCTTTGCTAAGCAGCCTTGTAAGTAGCATAATTGATACGAATTGGAATATTTATATGGGTCTACATTTGTGGTGTTTTCAGTCAAAATTCTATGCAGGATCTAGGATTCTTAACCCCTCATTCTTTTGGTGCTGTTCAGAAATGTTAGTTTTCTAGATAGTCCTTGTTTATATGAATGTGCACGTTAATGTGGTGTATATATATATATATATATATATATGTATATATATGTATATATATATATATATAGTGGATGGAGAAAGACTATTAAGATAATAGAATATTTAAGTTGCTGGGAACAGTATCCAGTGTTTTGATAGTGTTATGCGTTTGTAACAGAATTTGGGAGATGGTGGTTTATTTACGTTTTTGATTTCTTAAAATATCTTTATTGTTAAGGTGATTAACGGGGGGGAGAGGTTATAGTTACATAAGTAAGGTAGTGAGTACAGTTTTTTTAAACACTGTTACCCTTCCCTCATTTCCTCCTACTTTTCTCTATTCCCCTCTCCCCCTAATTTTTTATTTTTATTTTTTTATGGGACACACTAACTTTCTAAACAATACAAGATAACTTCACATGCAGCTGTTGTAAAATAAGAAAATATATTGGAATTGTGAATCCTAAAGACTTTATGAAAGGCAGAAATTTGCAACTGCCTAATTATCTATAGAGATGTGAATATAATTTTAGTAGCCTGCTATGAGCTTAAGGCCTTTCTGGTAAGCATTTTACCTGTTAAAAGGATCTAGAATACTTTCTTTGGGGTTTCCATAGTCTCCCTTACTATCTTTGCTCCAGGCAGGGCTATGCATAAATCATTCCAAAACAATTAATGCTGCTTTCATCCCAAATTATTGATTATTTTTTCTGTTCACAGTATATGTGCAACTGCAGTTCTACTCAGATTCTAAAATCAGGCATTTTAATTCTGTTTTCCAGGAAGATATGAATTTAAATGAAGATAAAAAGGCACCATTGCGGGAAAAGGATTTCAGTATCAAAAAAGAAATGGTGATGCAGTACATTAATACCGCTGCTAAGACAGTAAGTAAAACTGTCAAGTTGAAAAAATACTGCTTAAACAGGTTGTAGTGTGGAAAACAATGCATTCGTCTATTGAAGTGCTAGGTTTGTGTGCAGCTGTAATCAGGGATTTTGAATGTATAATTAAAGACCCAAGAATTACAATAAATTTGCTTAAAAATATTTCACATCTTACATCATTAAAACTACTTGTTTGTGGCAATCCCATTGTTAAGAAGCACTGTGGTCTCCTCTGAGACCTTTTCTTGTTAGTGAATTAAGATGCTCATTGATTTCCCATGACACTTATAAATATGCATAGTGTTTATATTAGAAAAATGAGACTGATTTTTTCTCTACCTACTTAAATCATGACACATAATGGGTATATGTTTAATGTAAATTTCCCTGTGGATAAAAATGTCCTGTGACAAGTTATAAATGTTGGTACTGAAGGGAGCACGGAGCCTTCACATAGCTGCCAGTTTTCCAGGGAAATATGAAATACATGGGCAGAAATAATGACTAAATATCCAAGAAACCATGACTGACACACAAAATCAATTGCATTTATTTTACAAAACAGCAGATTAACTTGGGTAGTCATATACAAGTTGTAAGTATGGATGAAAAATATAAAATGGAAGACAGTGATGAAGCAAAGACAGTAGAAAATGAAGTTGGCTGAATTTTATATGAATTAGGGATTAGAGAAAAAAAAGTAGCTTAATTCACTCTTTTTCACTTCAACATATGGCCAGGTTATAAGAGCATAATTTATTTATACTCTAAGTCCATTTATCTACTAAACTAGTCAGTGACTAAGGTATTTCTTTTGCAAGAAAGACTAATATAATGTTTAATTTTTAAACAGATACTTTGGCAGCCTGACTCAGTTGTGAAACCATCGTATGTACTATGCATTTTCCAGCCCTCTCTTCTCATTCTGATATTAATTAATGTTGTGTCAATGATACATGGATATCATAGATGGCACTAAGGTTTTAGGAGTCTGAGGTGGGATGACTTAGATCTGTTTATTAGTCTGGAGCATCATATTATACCTCTCTGGTATTCAATTTTCTCATCCCTAATATGAGATTCCTATATCCTAGACTTTTTGTCAGCGTTAAGATAAATTATCTATTCCATTATTGGAGCTTAATATTGTAAACTGATAGCTGCCACTTGAGATAGTAGTGGTGGTAATAATTTGTTTTAATTTTCTTTGTGATTTTGCTCTTGCCACTGAAATCACACCATAATTTAAAATATAGGGAAAAATATATTAATAAAATACAAATTAACAGGTTGTTGAGTTCAGATTTTGAAGACATTATTTGCTTACTCAGACTAAGTGTCTGTCATCTAGGCATTTACCATGGACATCAAAGTAGTGTCTAGCACTGCATTCTCTAGAGCACATTTGGCCACACGTAAAGCACACTAACATATATGTGAAAGCATGTGGAATATAGAATGCAGAAGATTATTGAGTAGAGATGGGAAACTATTTTACATGAAGTAGCCAAGGAAGGCTACTCTGTTAGAAAATTTAAATCTAACACGTATGCCTTTATTACATATAATTGTATCAGAACTGGTTACATCTGTTAGATTGGTTTAGAAAAAGGTTGGCATTTTAAATTCTGAAATTTGAGATAATATACAGACTTCTACAAGAACAACAACCCTTTTTGAATTTTGTTATAGTGAGTCCATTCGACTTTACATTCACTAATTTTAAAGTTTAATCCTCGAATCATTTTGCACTAACATTGGAATTTATTTACCAGAATTAGGTAATTAAATTATCAGGATTGAAATAGATTAGTTATCAAAAGTGTGATTACAACATTGACTCATTTAATTAGTGTGTAGAAGATCATGGCTTTTCCTAGGAGGGTTCTGTATAATTTGGCAGATGGTTAGCAGTATAGAAAGTTTAAACTGACCAGTTATTCTTTTCTGTTCTGAAAAGAGAAACATGCTTCATTAACTCTAGGGTACAGACTTTGTCTTGCTACTTCGAACTCATAACTACTGAAAAACCGATTCAAAATTCATAGATTGTTTTGTAGCAGATATAGGGAGTATATGTGAGATACACTTTTTGTTTTTTTAAAACAGCAATCTTGCTCTGTAGTTTTAAACTTATGATCCTTTTACCTCAGCTTTCCAAGTGGTAAGATTACAGAAGTGTAGCATCATACATGGCTTTGGTATACTTTTAATTATGTTTCAGCCTTAGAATTTTCATTGAATTTCTTTTTTGTGAGTAAGCATTAGTATTATTTTTTCCCCCAAATACTACTACTGCAGTTAATTTAAAAGTGCTGTATAAATATTAAGATGAAAAGTAGGCCTAAGTGGGTTACTTTTTAGTTTAGGAGAAAATAAAAAGCATTAATCAAACTGGTTTATTTCCAAGACCTCAGTAAATTTTTTAAGTGGCAAAATAGTAAAACTGAATTTCTACAGGTAAGCAGGATAATTAGGATTTTGTTAAGTTAGTGTCATATTAGGGCCATGTATTACACTAGCATTACTTTTTTCTAACTTCCTAGGGCATGGGTATGCGATTCAGGTTTGTTCAGGATGATTTGGTGGGAAGTTATGTTGTGGGTCTTCTGAGGTGGCTGCCCTTTGGTTCTTAATGGGTTCTTAGCAAGAGATCCTCTTTCTCTGTATTGGCCATAGTTAAGGAAGTTGTGGGATACAGAGCTTGGCCTGAGAGAGTTGCCACTGTGCCCTAAGTGCACAGTGTTCAAGTAATTCCATTGAGGGAGATGAGGCATGTTGTTATTTAATCTGTGTGTGTGAGTGTGTGTGTGTGTGTGTGTGTGTGTGTGTGTGTGTTTGTTTTGGTTTGTTGTTTTTTGGTCTATCCTGGTTTGTATGTTTGTTTGTTTGTTTTTTTGAACATAGCCAGGGTCTGTGCATTGTCCTTGAGCCTTTTTGCTCAAGGCTAGTTATCTACTACTTCAAGCCACAGCTACCCTTCTGGTTAATTACAGATAAGAGTCTCATAGACATTTCTGCCTACGCTGGCTTCAAATAGTTATCCTTGTATCTCAGCCTCTTGAGTAGCAAGGATTGCAGGCATGAGCCACTGTCTGCTTTTGAGTCTGTTTTTGACTAATACAAATGGCTAATATTCCATCGCCATACATTTTTGCCTATGTGGGATGTCTCTAATTCTAATTTATCTTAGAAATCATGGTTTCCAGACCTACCCTATAGATGGAAGAAGTACTCATGGTCCTGTTTCTGTTTCCTGGAAAATGACTTACTTTAGATATTTAGAAATGGGCTTATTAGAGAAAATGTCTTTCATAAAGATTATAAGCCAAGCACTAGTGACTCATGTATAATGCTAGCTCTTCAGGAGGTTGAGATCCAGGGAATGAAGGTTTGGAACCTATTGCCTCAAAGGATAGGCCACCAACTAAGCACACCTATCTACCACCCATGATCAGAGTTCAAAAATGAGTGTAGACTTTACTTTTTGTTTGATTCTGTAGCTAGAGAGTGAGACTCTTGTTCAATTAATGATAAGGATGTTGAAAGTGGCTCTCATGAGATAAGCAGAGTGGAATGGAAGGCCACAGTTCCCACACAGTGGAAATTCCTATGACAGAGGTAGATTAAGATACAGTTAAAGAATGAGTTAAAAGGCTGGGTGCCAGTGGCCCACGCCTGTAATCCTAACTACTCAGTAGGCTGAGATCTTGGGCCAGAAAGACCAGGACTCTTTATCTCCAATAAACCGCCAGAAAGCCAGAAGTGATACTGTGGCTCAAGTGGTAGAGATAGTCTTGAGCTGAAGAGCTCAGAGACAGTGCCCAAGCCCAGAGTTCAAGCCCCATGAGCGAGACACCCCTCCCAACCCCCCCAGAAAAAGAATGTGTTAAAAGGATTTTTGTCTAAAATAGGATTTAGACCAATGAGATGCTTTTTCTTTCCCCATCACAGAAGAATAGTGGAAATAAAATACACACTATGCCTTTCTATCTGTTAGATGGTAGTCTTCCATATGCTGCTCCATTGTTAAGTTTTTTTAGGTTAATTTGTGACTTAAGAATGTGGACAAGGCATGAGAGGACAAAATCAGAACAGTGAAATCAGACCCATGAAAGGGGACCTTGAGGAGGAAGAGGAGCAAAGGGAATCAGGAGAACAATTGAAGAAGCCAGGTTTGAGAGCTAGTAAATTAGAACCTCAGACATGTCTGGCCCTTTGTGGGGATGAATGTGTGGACGGAGAAGGGGTAAACCTTCAAAAGGACTTTTGAAGAACATTTGCTTTTTGCTATATACTATAATGCATTTATTAAATCTCCAAGAACCTTTCAGCAGAGTCGAGCATTTGCTCATTAGTGCTGTAGGAGTTGATTCTCCACTTTGTTTTACGTATCAAGGTGATAAAAATGGCTAGCTGCATTATAACTGTAACCTGTGAGCAAGTGGTCATTTACAGCTGGACCATTATGTGCAGATGAAACGCTTTTAAATTTTCTCTTTAAAATGTGTACATCTAGCTAAAAGCCTCTTCCCCTACTCTGTCCTTGGTATATAAACACGGTTGCAGTGACACAGTCATGTTAGGTGGGGTATGACCTAACAAGGAAGGCATTAATATCACACTGTTTTCTATTTATTCTTACTTTTTTCCCTTCTCAAAGAGAACCAGTCCAGCTCCTCATAAGTGCTCCTGGAAGTTTGGTTCTACCTGGAACTGTGTTGCCAATTTTTCTTTTTTTTCCTAGTGAAGCTGGTTTCTACCTGAATGAAAGGGCTTCCACACATTTGTCAGAGTTGCATATTTTAACTTTATTGTTTAACGCCTTCATTAAGTATTACTCTAATGCTTGCCTGAATTTTTAAAGTAAGAGATAATATTGAAATGTTAATTATTCAACCTAACTTTAAAAGAGACCTAGAAACCAACACACTTTTTTTTTAAACATTATGGTAAAATGACTCAGTCTATGTTGAATTTGTGAGGATAGGATTACAGAG